AAACTATTTAAATAATTTACATTACTATCGGTCATATAGAAAAGAAGAGGGCATCAAATAGACCCTAGAGGCGCCTCTCTCTCTCATATATATATATATATATACATATATACATATATATATATATGATTTTGTATTTATTCATATACATGTAATATGTATATCATCTTTATGGTTATCTAATATAGACAAACAAGTTAACACTCACGGAGCTGCACATACGCACTGTGCTCTCTCCTGATATGCCAGTGCAACCGCAGCTAGAGAGTCGCCAGCATGGTTGGATGCCACCAGCTCCATGTACCTGGTCCCAGATCTGAAACAATTCCCTCTCAGGCTGCTACAAGCTTCTTCCGCTCTGAGGGCATTGCAGATCTTGCAAGTGACAAAGCTGAGCTCGGCTGTGGAGGGCCTTCTGAAGATAGCTGAGGATGCCAAGAAAACTTACAGCCCTCAAAAGCCCGACCCACGCCAGGTGCATGCCGCTGGGACCGTGCCTGAGGCAGCTTCGCCCCGTCTGCCGAAGCATCGACCAACTCTGCAAGCGGTGTTTCTGCATGAACCTCAGAACGGCAAATCACAAGAGCCGATGGTTGCGCAAATTCGAAGGCGCAACCCGATTTTGCATAAACCTTTCGAACGACGATGATCTGCTTCGCTTCGCCACGCAACGGCAGCACGGCCAGCTTTGCCGAGAGAACCAAGAGAAAGACCTTTGCTTGCGGAGCAAAGCCCTCAATATCCCTCAATGACAAACCTTCTCTCTAACAAAAGAACTGAAATTCATACTGACTTCGGTCGGGCAACAAAGGTTTATGACATCCTCCACGAGCGCACGCAGAAGCTCCGTTGCCTGTCTCAGGAGGCCACTAGGCTTGCTCAAATTCGGATGTGCACCAAAACCTCATCAGCATCGCCACGTCGCTCCAGCTCTCGCCGCAGCTCCTCGGACGAATGAAGGAAACTCTGCTGTCCCTCTTGGTTTCAGCGTGCAGCACCACCCTCCCCCCCGCACCTGCCCTGGCCACGTTGCTCACACGTGCTGCTTTCACCACAGTCGGCCAACACACTCTGAGTGGGCACGTTCTTCTTGCGCATCCACTCGAGGCTCTGGGTGGGTGGGGCTCTCTCTGCTATCTCCTTTGAGCCCAGGCCGTTTGTAGCTCCCCTGGCCTCCACCATTCCGAAGGGCAAAGGCTGCTGCGGAAGCATTTGCCGAAGAATTGCCAGACGGCCCGAGTCCTGCAGACGGGTTCTTTGCTGCAAGCGGGTGTTGTGATTTGCTCTCGGACGTTTTTGAAGCTCTCGCAGACAGTAGCTGTCCAAGCAACAGAATTGTCAGTCAGCCCACGATCGCGGACGCGTAGGGAGCAGTGACACGCTGCTCTGCTTGGCAAGAGAAGCTTTCTCAGCACTGTGAGAGAAGTCATCTCGAAAAGAAAATTTCTTTGGAGCCTTATAACTTACCAGCCTTGAAGCCCATGCAGCATGCTGCATACGCTGCCCCACAGTCGCCACAGCTTGACCCAGCTTCTCCGTGCCCATCATCCTTCAGACAGTCGCAACCTTTGGCCGCAAAGCCGGCACAGCAGGCTTCGTAAGCCAAGCCGCAGTCGCCAGGCGCTGTACAGTTGTGAGCAGGGAGGTTCTGAGGGGTGGGGAGTGACACGTTGGAGACTCGTGCAGGCTCCGCCGGGACATGCTGAGGTTGCTTAGGCGGCTGCGAACAATCGCAGGGCGTGCCAATGCTGCAGCAAAAGCCATATGACGCCGGGTTGCACTGGCCAGGGGAAGTCGTTCCCTTCTTGCAATCACATGGCGTGCCCAGCTCGCAACAGAATGTGTAAGATGCAGATTCGCACTGCTCCGCTTGGACGAACTGCACTGGCAGCAACAACAAAGCAGCCAGGCGACGGAAGTTCGTTGCGGGGGGCATGGCTTCAACGACGCTTTTGCGTTTTTTGCGCCGTTTACTGGATATCCTGAGCTCGAGCCAAACCACACAGCTGCTGAGACAAACGTGCTCTCGGCCTGCTCTCGGCGTGAGAACCGCCTCCAAGACCTGCCAAGTCTGTCCTTCAACTCTCCGCCAAAGCGATAGTGGCGCAGCTGAACCTTGCTCTGTCATCGGGCATGTTGGGATGTCTTTTCAGTCTGCAGCTCGACGCGGGGCCTGGATACGGACAGCTCCGCGGACATGCTGCGTCAGTGCTTCTTCGAGTTGATCCTTACATCAAGCATGAGTGAGGGCTCAATTCAGACAAGCGAATGCCAAGTCTACATCGGCTATGACTTGGCTCGAGCGTCCAGGTCGTATGCCACGGAGGCATTGCATGATTCGGTCTCTTTCCGGCTCTGGTGCAACAGTGGCAGCAAGTCAGAGCGAAGATCCTTTGTTCCCAGTTCACCATGCGTCAATGCACTGCCATCGATTTTTTTGCGCACCCTGTGGACTGAAGACTTCGCCCAGGGGCCAGCGATGCCAACAAGGAAGCCACAATTTTGGGCTCCGTGGCCGCGCTGACCTCTGTCTCGCACAGCCATGGCGAACTCGGACCCCTGCACGCCGGTTCAGAGACACCTGCCTCACCGTAAGACAAGGCTACAAGATCAACAGTTTGCCGTGATGGACCCGGAACTCAAGTCACTTGAAGTGCTCGCAACCGAAGGAAATCCAGGACCGCACACCCGACGTCCTCCCTTGGCATCCCTGCCGACAGCGCCGGTGTGTTTTCCGCCTGGATGCCGAGGGCTGCCTCGACTGCCTTTGGGAGAGCAAGCTTCAGCATGAGACGAGACTTCAGTGCGGAAAACAAAAAAGTGTGATGACTCTGTGAGGTGAGGTTGTGGCTGCATTCCTAGGATGTGAAAAAATTGAGGAACTGCGGTTCCTCGGAGAGGCCTGTCCTCGACCAAGTCGTTCTGGGCGGTTTGCAAGACGTTGGCAAGCTGCACCGTGCAGAGGGTGGATGCCTCGAAACTCCCGCAAGATCCCGGAAGCGTTGGAACAGGATAAGAACTGCAACAGCTGATATGGTGTCACGGGCCTCTGTTTCGCCCGATGGTGCCACGTAGGGTAAGGAGAAAATCACAGGTGTCTCAGGTGTCCTCAGACAACGACTGGCTTTCAGTTCTCGGGGAAATCTGCATGCCGCAGATACCAGGTGCCACATCAAAACATGCAGGCCCGACAGTTTTCTGCTTTGCTGCTTTGCGTCATTGGGCCCGGCAGGTTAACTTTGCCCTGCTGCAGGAACGGATTGGCCTCGCACTCGAAGAGACCTGGGCTGGACGGCCTCCTCCTCCTCTCTCTTCACATCACATCGCTACCCCAGCCAGGTCGCGCTCAACCAGCGGGAAAGCCAGGTTGAAGCAGCGGCAGAACTCGTTGAGAGACTCTTCGGCATGGGCCCTTTGGTGCTCCGGAAGCCTGGGAGCGAGAAGGCGCTGAGTACGGAAGCTTCACAGATCTTCACACATATCACAGAGATTCACAGAGCACATCACAGGACTCCTCTGGCCGTCCTGGCCTTGCAATGGCTTCTGAATTGGTGAGCTGCCGGGCCTCCTCTCCTCGAGTCGGGCTGAGTACAGAAACTTTACCGTCATCACAAGTTGTATAAGTTCTAGGCGAAGGAGGCCGTAGTCCTCGAAGGCCTCCAGAAAAGAATCGAGTTCTTCCTGTCTCTTTGATTTCGGCTTAAGCCTCGAAAAGGACCGCATGCCAGGCCAGCAAAGCCGGAAGAGCCTTGAGCGCTGTGAGGCGCCTGCAAAGGCTGCTTGGGTTAAAAGCTAAGCGACGATTCGAACGCGCCTCTGCTCCTTGAGCATCACGGACAAAACTGGCCGGCTGTCAGCGTTCTCGTTGCCTTGGCTTTTTCTCTGCAGCACTGGAACCTCTCGAAGACACGAGCCGACAATCGACTTTACTGCTCCTACAACGCCAAACTGAGGCGGTGGCAAGACATGAAGCTCCGCTCAAAATCCGCTAGACCGGCAGGCTGGCGACCGTGCCACAGAATGCACGGCAATGCCGTTTCCTGAATTGAAGGTTAGGGCACAGCGGCACACCCCAAGACCAAAGTCTGATCAGCGACGGACCAGGTCAGCCCAGGTGCCACAGTCTCGTAGAGACTCTTCTCCCAGTTGTCCTTGAAGTTGGAAGTACATTCTGATGCTGCAATGAATCAGGTCAGGTCGCCTCTCAACTGGACTCGCCGCTAGCATTATAAGCAGGCAAAAACTAGGCAAGATGCGCCCAGCTCGCGCCAAGCTTTCTCACCCAAGGCCATACATGCTGCTGCCGTGTAGTCGGTACCGACATCCATTTTCTTCCGGTCCTGTTCAGGGAGCTAGAGGTTCGCAAGCTGGTTGCGATCAATTGCACCACAAAGCAGACAAAATGCGACCCGAATCAGATTGCACCCGCTTTCGCTCGGGCAAGCATGAGCGGGATTGTAAAATCTGCAAGCAACTCTAGTCATGCGGCTCCTCCTGTTGCTGCGCACAAGCCGTAAAAGAATGTTCGGAGGCAACCTGCACATGCTTCGAACATTGTACCAGTCCAGACACTATACAACCAGGAACAAATGCAATGCAGAGAGGACAACCCGCCCAATTCCCACGTTCACTTTCAGCGTCCCTTCGAACCAAGTCTCAGATACTGCCCGAACTAGGAAAGGGCTCCACGTCATCATGTGAGACTTCACCGAGCTTTTACCGGCAACTGCAAGAAGCGCAGCATCCAAGCCGGCCTGGAAGTTGTACTCAAAGTCTGCTCGCGCCGTCTCGTCGGACAGAACTCCTCAGACAGAGCCCGTGGCATGGCCAGCAACTCTTTGGAACTCTTCGATCAAGCCACGGCCCACGTTTGGACAGCTCATCAGCGTCACATGCAGCCAGGCACCCAGCCTGAGCACTGGAGGGAACGCAGGCGAGCACAGGCACGTTCTGATCCGGAGTCTGGTCTGGGCCACCGGCTCCCTTGGAGGCAGCTTGGTGCGAGACAGCAAAGCCTTCCAGTCCTGCAGAGAGTCCATCTTACACTGGATTGAGGCCCGGATTTCATTACAACTCAGATCCAGCTCTCCTCGCAAATCAGCTGATAGAGCTCCTTCGCGGCATCCCTGAGGAAGCTGAACCGAGCAGCTCAAACCAAGCGAAGTATGCAAGACGGCAGCTTACTCTTGCCGACCCCGATGTATTCGCACACCTTATGCTGGAAAAAGCATCAGGAAACGAAAAGTCTCCCCCTTTCTGCCGGTACTTCAGGCACAACAATCACCCTTCGTTCACGGCGCCACATGACATAGCTAGAACCGTAACCATGGTCGTCAAGCTCCAGTCCTTGAAAGTCGTTGGAAACATGCTCACTGAATTTCGCTCCATGCCGAGGCACTTTGTACTCGCGGCAGCTCCAGGCAGCACAGCGTCGACTGCAGGGCGTGGCAGCTCCGAGCTCAAGCTCGCCTGAAGCGAGGTTCTCACAGAACTATAACCGAGGCAAGCCAGATAGAGACAAGTCATAAGAGAAACGACAATGCTCAGACCTGTGAGGAATCGGTACGACCACAAACACGGAATCGCGAACCAAAACGACTGAGTCGGAACTGCCATATTGCGGTTCTCCAACTTGCAGCATCGGGGACCAAGCACACTGAATCACAAGTAGCTACCAAGCACGCTTCGAAGCTGCCGAGACATGAACTAGCGCGCACAATTGGTAAGTGAAGATCACGCGATCACCAGGCGGCCGCTCTTCTCACACTGTTGCATCAGCGAACCTCTAGGCTCGACCGTAAGTTTTGTCAGAGTAAGTGAAACACTGAATGGCAAACTTCGACACACGCGCTCTTGATGAACATTTTCTCCCACCCCAGACACACTGTGGAAATGGCTTGCAGGTATCCGAGGCGTAGAATTCTCACAGGTAGAGCAGGCTAGGGTTCCTTGCGCAGCGCTTAGCTGCACATGGACGGTCATAGCACGGCGACACTCAGCAATACTGTGATCAGCAAGTAGGGCTTGCTCTGGCTTGCAGCGAAGGAAAATTCGTCTCGCAGGTCGACTGGAGACTCAACGGCCAATCGATTCAATGCGTCGGTCTGAGACTGCAAAATTGGAATGTGCTGCATCTCTTGCCACCGTGCTGAAGAATAGACACCCCGGTAGAAGCAAGATCTCTCAAGTAGAGATGGAGAGTCTGATCTGACTGACTTTGGGCTGCCGGGCCAGACCTTGTCTTGCAGGTCATTGCTAGGGGCGTCAGTTTAGAAGGCTACCTAGCTTGGTCAAACCGGGCCACCCAGAGTGCCACGCGTAGCACCAGGCGCATAGCTTTGAGGCCACGCATGTTCAGCTGTCGCTTGAATTGGTTGACAACGGTCTGGTCCTAGGCTCGCGAAACATGTGATGCCACACTGTCCGCCAATGTCAGCATGGACAGGGCAAGATCTTCCCCAATTCCTCGTGCGCCCTGAGGCCCAATCCACCAGCTCGCTCGTTGCTGCAATATAACCAGGCTGCGATCGGTGCCTGCGGAAGATTCTCGGCCCTAGTAGCGGTCTAGCTTCCCAGGCTTCCGACGCCTCAGAAGGCGATCCTCGTTGATGGTGCGGACGCCCTGCCTGCGCACGTGGGAGCCCTCGAGCTGCGCAGCGCACAGGGGAGGCCGAGGCCGGCCGAGCGGAGTGTTTAGCCAAGCGGCACGTTCTGATGATGCTCTCCGCCGATCGGCGCACCACAGCCAGGAGCTGGGCAAATGCCCTTCTGCATTGGCCTGGCTGACAGGAAGCCAGAGATGACGACTGTGTATGCAGTAGATGTGGCCTGGTGCACTCACCGACGGAGTAGGGATGTCCATTCGGGCAAGTGTACCTCGTAACTCGTAACGTAAGAGCAGTGAGGCTCTTTCGCCATTCCCAGCTACTCTGGTAACATGATGTAACATGGCCCAAGCGTCACCAGTGACTCATGCAGACTCCATCTACACCTTCCTTCCTTTCACTGCTGTTCACATGCTTGTTGTTGTACATCATCCACAAATTTCTGAAGTGTCCCCGTACTTGTCATCACGATCTGGCAGAGCGATCTTTGAGGAGACAACCGCTTGCAACGCTAGAAGGAAATTCATTAGTGTTCGTCGATGAGAACCAGCTACGAAGTGCAGCGGCAAGACCGGGCCGACAGGATGGCGGTTAAACCCAGAGTCTGCCCTAAGCTCGGGCAGCTTAAACTCTGCAATCTTCGGGCACCAGCCCACATAGCCCATGGCTCCCACCACCGCCGCTTCCTGGCAAAGCATGGCGATGTCTTACCGAAGGCCGCAGTCGAGAAGCGGGTCCTCACTGTCTGGCATGGTGGGCCAGTAGGATCGCTGAGCTTCACCCGGGTTGGTCAGGACATGCTCCAGCCTAAGTCCCGCGTGAACATGGGGCAGCGGCTGTACCGCGCAGTCAGCGACTCCTTTGGCCCCTGCCAACCCGCTGACTGCGTCCCGGCCCCCAGCACAAGCAGTGCCAGGTGGTGCGCGAGCTGCTCAAGAAACTTCCGGAACTTCCTGGAAGCTAGCACAGGATCATGTTGCTTATGCCTGTGTGGCGTGCATTGGGCCAGAGCCGGGTAGAGCTACAAGTCGCAAGACTCAACATCAGATCAGCGTGATACCTCGGGTTCACGTTCGTCGAATCGGCTTCCTCCGTCACTTCCTGCAAGGAGCCCAAGTCTTCGCTTCTCAAGCCTAAACCTTTACGTCGTAACTTTACGTACAACGAATGGCAGCTCACCTGCAAATGTGGAAGGAGCCCAGAGAACATGCGATTCGCCAGCATGCTTCGGTTCCTGCCGCAGCATTTCGCAAACGGTGATGGCCGTGGATGCTCGACAATTTTTTTCTTCCATGAATCATGCGGCTGCCTGTGCCTGGCAGCCTTCTCGGTGTCGAGGTTCTCGCTGACCCAGTCTCGCAGCACCTCCAGGCCCTCGGCCACGGCCACCTGGCGGCAAGATGGCAGAAGAGGCAGCTAGTACGGCAGGGGCCGTGCAGAGTCGCCTGACGATTCAGCAGCACACGCGAAACGATGCATGCCAGAACTGATCTTCCAAAGGCCTTGGCTGCAATCGCAGATCCCCCGGCATTGCAGGTGTCTTGCCGCCAAGCTGCTTTGCCGCGGGCCCACTTGCCAAGATGGGATTGGCATGCTCTCTGAACTGCCTTCTGGTGCTACACAGCAACTAACAGCTGATCATCGACCCTCGACGTGCCGGCCTGGTCAAACTCGTCCTTGGTGGCCCTCGAGGAGCTGGCCACCGCTCCCACAGCGCCGCAAATTTCGAGATACCTTGACAAGCAAGAAACTGCCAGGAACACGACGCATGATTCGGAGTTGCAGTCGTTGTTCAGCTGGTTCTGGTTTCGCTGGAAGTCCAAGTCGAGAGACCACTTCAACGCATCCTCGCTGCGTTGAAGTGGAGCAAAATGCACCTTGGATGGATGAACAGCGAACAGCGCTTCGGTTCCCGTTGCTGAGTTCAGTCCCGTCGCGAAAGGATCCGGGAGGTCGTTGCTGAGATTCGGAAGGCGTCTCCCATCCAAAGGAAACCAGCCGAGGTGGGCTCCTGGAACATGGCCAGAAACAGTCTTGCTATGTCTTGCTGAGGCGGACGCCTTCGGGTTTCAGCGCGAAAGCCCCGATGCGGCACAAGTCAATGTCGCCACCTCTCCGATCCATCCGCAGCGAACAACACGCATCAAGCATGGCCGATTGGTCAAGTGCCCCCTTTCTGATTCCCATTGTCACAGCTGGGTCGGAGACCCATTTGCCGGATCACCTTCGCAGCATAGAGAGCCTCAGACTTGCGACTCTGCAGCCGAAGGCAAAGATACTCGTGTGGTTTTACCGGAGGAGTCGCGGCAGCCGCAGCAAAAGACGCTGAAGTCAAAAGGCAGCTTGCGTAACGAAGGGCTGTCGAAAATCAGTTGGTTGCAAAGCCTTGAGGGTTGAGCTTATCTCATGCCTGCTAGGGAATTAGAAAAAATAAAACCACAACAGAGATCTCAAAGATCTCCGCTCTCCGTGACACCCTCATCCACTTGGACTCACGTCCGCTGCTCGAGCACATGGTGCTGACCATGTGCTGGCGCATGGACTTCTAACGCGCGGCTCTTGTGATGCTTCGGATTCTGGACTGCCGGCTTTGAACTTTCGATTTCGGAGTTCAGTCCTCCAATCTTGAAACTTCGGGAATCGGAGGGCTGATGACGTCGGATTTCACGTCCCAACGAAGGCGAGGGCGAATTTGGAGCTCAAATGCTTCTTCCGATCTGCTTTGTCGTTGCAGGAACCACTACGTGCAAGATTTTGCCGAAACCCCACAAAACAGTCTTCAACTAGCTCCAAAGCCTCAGCGAAAACACCATTCCGAAGCATGAGCAGGGACCCTATGCGGCGGGATGCACGTGGCTTCGACATCTTTAGTCAGGGTTACGAAATACAACGGAACCACCTTGAGAAATGTTGTAATGCATCTTCGGCGCCACGGAAGGGCTTCGCAGCGCCGAGGAGACCAGAGCCGACGGCTTTGCAAGGACGTCCAGGACTAGGCCTCTACAGGGATCAGCCACCGCACGGGAGGCCCTCAGCAACACTCAAAATATGCCTCGCGCATAGCTCGCCACCATCCGCCGCACGCGAGCCGCTGCATGCAGGAGCTGCCTCGCATCCAGGGAGCTCACGGAAGGACAGACCTATGTGAAAACAAGGCATAGGAGAAAAACGGCAACCGCACATCCCAGTTGCCTCGAGCCTTTCTTAGCCTGTAGCACCTGAGAGGGCAGCTGGCACTCTTTATTTGCATGGGAATGGGCTTGCTGGGCTTCTGGCCATTGCCACATCCTCCTCACTACACTCCCCTATGTCCTCGACGTCCTGGGCCGATCAACTTGCACGGCTCCAAAGCTTCCATCCAGCGGCCTCGAGGAAATTCAGGAGCCAAGTCAGGCCCTTCACATCGAAGTCCTCATCCGGCAGCACCTGGTCTGGCAATCCCTATTCAGAATACAAGCTTCAAGCCTTTAAGCGTCACTCCACTTCACTGCAAGCGGCCCGGCAAGGCAGAGAAAAGACACAACTGCTGAGCACATCTGCCACCCAGAACACCTTAGGTGCCTTCACCGGCATCTCACTCTGACCAGACGGCAAAGCCGCGAGCCCCTACTTCTGCTTGCTTGCTATCAACGATGATCCTTTGATGTCTGTACCCTATGATTTTCACAAGCGGCATCAAACACCAGTAGCACCTTGTGCACTTGCGGGTGTTCCAGCCAGCACAGGAGGCTTCGCGTCATTTGCATCGGCAGCCTCGGAATCGCAGGTCACGCCAACCGAGCCAACATCGCTCCTGGAAGCTGCTGAGTCTCCCACGGGGCCAAGCCGAAGTGATCTGACGCCCCAGAGCTCTTGGCCACGGCTTTCTGGGCAGCAACGGCCGCACCGCCTGGTAGCTTCTTAGCCCGAATCCATAGACTCAGGCCTGAGAAGGACGAATGCTTTTGCAGAAAGCGGTTCCTTACCTCGTTGGAGCATCTCTTCTGCACCAAAAATGGACGCCAGGAACTCGCCTAAGCAGAGCCCGCACGGCCACGGCCACTCCATGCAGGCGGTGCAGGTGCGGCGCTGGCGACGCTTGGCAAGGCCCTGCATACAGCAGCCTGTGCCCTTTCTTCGGCTTCGCTTTTGCTCAGGCCTCAGGGAAACAAAGTCTGCGAAAATACAACAACACCTGTCTGATTGCACCACGGGGGGCGGCCTTTGGCAAGAAGGCAGCTGCGCACGCTTTCAGCACAGCGGCACCAGTAGTCCTGTGCATGCTCAACACTACACTCCCCTCCTGTATTCCTCTTCTGCAGTTGTGGCAAGATGGAGCTAGAGATTTCAACACTCTCTCTTCGCGAAACTGGTAGAATCCGATAGACGATCAACACCCGCACCCTGATGCAGGCCTTGTTGAGGAAGCCAGTCCCTAGATCAGGCACCAACGCTGCACGCTCTTCCTGCCGAGAGCCACGCAGTTGCTACCATTTCACCCGCAGCAGCTTCGGCATAGTCCTGGGTCCACCCAACAGGTACGGCTGCGGCCTCAATGCACGATGCAACACACATCTGGGAGACTAAGCACGGAAAGCACAGAGAGCGCCTCCTGCAGCGCCAAAGCCAGGCGAAGCCTCCACCAGCTCGGAGCCACCAGGACCTCAACAGACAAAGGCGGCAGATGCGCGCTGAAGCCGAGCGCATCTTGAGGCATTTCTAGTAACTGGAGATTATGCACCTTGGCCTTGAGCACCACACTACGCTCGCCGATATGACTATTCGTCAACGCGCAGAAAAAACCGTTTTGCACCGAGGATAAGTTGGGTACCGCTGCAGGTACTACGCTCAACCTCATGCTCATTTCAGGGGATGAAAATTACCGGACTCATTCGCTGACCTTCCGCCGCTGCTTTTTTCCCGACAAGCGCTTGTGGTCTCCCATAAGCAAGAAGGTAGTTACATCCTCACTTGCATGAGGTGTTGGCAAAAAGATCTTCGACGCAAAAGCTATTTAAAATGCTGCTTCACAGCACAACCACTCTCGCGCAGAAGCGCCTGCGCATGTGCGCGTAAAAATGTCCTCTGGATGAGGACGAGAGAACACAGGCCTTCCGTGTCTCTCGCTCGGAACAGCTAGAGTAGGTGAAAACTGGAAGTTGCGGGCCAATTATTTCATTGCAAAGGCTGCCACCAAGAGCACTCGCCCCGCTCATGAGACCCTGCACAAACTTCACTTCTAAAGCTCCACTGGCCAGGCAACATCCGTTGCAGATTTGCTTTCTGATCGCCTCAGAGACTTCAAGGATCTGCAGTACACCGACTGGCACTGAATCAGTAGCAACAAAACGTCAGCCAAGGAACGAGTGAGAGGTGTGGGCAATCGCACCGAGGGTTGCCATGAAGGAGCCCTTATGAGCATGTCTGGCCTCCGTGGCTTAGTTTGGGCTTCCTTTCTATCCTAGTCTCTATTCAAGCAGGTGCTTGGTACTTCCACTACACGCACCAAAAAGAAACATGCACTGTTCAGACATGCAGCATTCACAATGTCGGCAAAGCCTCGGCAGAGTCGAGACGAAACCCATGCGAGTCTTACCAGACAACGACGTATTCACAGCGCGCTGACCGCCGCCTCTTTAATTTCAATGCAAGGCTAGGATCGCCGAGCTCGTGCGGCGATGTCGTCCATCTTTGAATCTGCAAGACCCTTGTCCGTGACCCAAATATCCTGACCAAAGGCTTCGCTGCAAGTTCGGATCACGTGCACTCGTCAAACTCACATGTCAGGAGAACATGAGCCAGCATTGCCCACTTCACGCTGCTGCCTACACAATGCCACTTCGATATCAAACAAACTGTTTCATGGGGCGCCTCTCCGTCCATGTGTTCCACTTCCCCAATCAACAGTATGCCAAAAATCTGCAAATACCTTTCGATAAAGTCACAGTTCAAATTGTGTGCTCAGGACAGCAAGGTAACACACGCTTAGCGCTTGTTGCATCTAAGTGCTGCCAGAGAGGAGACCCGTGCTTCTTCACGAGGTTCGCGAAGGTCGCCGCGTCCACTCCGTTGTAGTAGCAGATCTTTCCGGTATTCGCTGTGAGACGGCCTCGATGGTTCCACTCTGCCCAAATGCACGGCAGACAGAAGACCTCCCCGGCAAACACGTGCTCAGACTCGAAAGAGGTCAACTGTCTGGCGATGTAACCCATGGAGCCGTTCTCGATTATGTACACCTGAGTACACTCCGTGCCAGGCATGAAAGCATCTTGACCTGGTGTTGCGATGTGCTCTACCATCGCGAGGTGGCATACCTGCCGAAAAAAGAGTTCATCATCGTCGTGTTTCCAGTATCGCCAAATGCTGAGAGTCATCAGGCGGTCAAGGTACATCTCTTCATGGAGGTAAACTTTCAGCCGCTCCGGAACTCCCACCAGAAGATCGACATCCGCCTCCTTCACACGTATGTCGTAGGCTCCTTGCTTTTTTAACATATCGTTCACCTTGCCGTAGAGCTCCGTCGACAGATTTCGCTCGTTGAAGAACCGGACCAGAAAGGAATGATTCTTGAACTGCTCCTCGCGCGCGGTGCGCAAGGTACTCACTGTCGTCGTGATGGAGCTGATGAAGGATGAGAAAGTGCCCATCGCCAGCAGAATGACCAAGACGGCAAAAAACCTCCAGAACAATGCGAGCATAGGGTAGAACATTAGGTGTGCATGGGAAAGGTAATGGAGAGCTAACTCACCTTTTGTTCGCAGCTCGTTTCCTTGATGAGGCAACAAACAAACTGACCGTCGCAATCCCGAAGTGAAAGCAGCAAAGGCCTCTCTGCGACGGTGACTGGCGCAACATTGTTGGTCGCGGGTGTGAACTGCGTTAATGCCCAATGAATTGACACGGCGTACGCGTCGGCCATGTCTGCCTGTGATCGACTTCAACCGAAAATGCTGCCAAGCACTTGCTACTAAGTTGCACGTTGCGTCACAAGAGGATGAAACGAAGTCGCAGCGGGGTATCCCGTTACTTGCATCCTTGCCTCCTCAATTCCGGCATTGATCAGCCAGCTTTGCCCGTTTTCCAAGGTCCTTGTGCTGACAGATGCTGGCAGTGTGAATACTGACAGATGACTGTCGACTTGCAAAAAGCCGCCAAGAGCTACAGAATCAGTGAAGACGCTTGTGAGGGGGATGAGGGCTTGAGGGCAGGCCAACTTCTGACCGGAAGTCCATCTTCCCAGCCCGTACCAGCAGCACGCGAGGATGTGATTGACAGCCAGGATCATGAGCAAACCCGAGACCACCTTCATGACCTTAACTGCTGGACCAGTTCTATGACCCCTTCTTGACTTCACACAAACGTGAATGTTGGCAGACGGTCGCGTGCATCGAGAAGTGTCTGCAGCGGAGGTGCCATGAACGCATAGGTGGACAGGAAGTTGTTGGCCAGCAAAGTCAACTCCTGCGTCAGGCGGTGAAATCGAGTAAACTCCAAACCCAAAGCTTCGAGACGGATCAGCCGCTCTCCAGTCGCTTCACTGCTGGAACCCCCCAGATTTTGCTGCCCGCTGCCTGCTGCAGCTTCGCCACACGCAAGAGCCGCAGCAGTCGCAGCAAGCGGAGCGTTCGAAGGTACCGTGCGGACCGGACAGGGCTTCCTCAGGACAACCACCAGACCTCCATGTCATGTCTCATGTCCATGTCACAATGTCTCGAGGATGCTCAACAGTTTCGCACTACATTTGCTTTCTTGCCCGCCTTCGGGCTGTGCGTTCTGGATCTCCTGCAGAACGATAAGTGCGGCATCGATTGAAAGGACAAGGACGTCGATAGGAAGCCACGACCGTATGTACCTGCCATATCCGAACGTTCGTCAAAGCTGTCCAAGCCAGTCGATGCTAGGCCGCGTTTCGCTTTAGCGAAGACGAGCCCACAAAACGACTGTCGGGTTTACCAAGTGTTGCCCCCCCACCCTCGTTCCGAGCTTGTGCTGATACATGTGGCCTTCTCATGAGCACTCGTGGGCGAAGCTCCAAATGACCGTCAATTTCCACACCAAAAATCGCGTGGAGCGGCCTCGGTCAAAGGTAGCTCGCATACGAAGAAACGCAATACAATGGAGTAGCAGCACGCGTCATGGAGGATAAGACTGAGTGAATGACCACGCCGGCAGGGCAACTGAAGGGCGATGGATGAGTTAGTTGTTTACAAACTGCAACCCGCGGTGGGAGTTTGGCAGGTTCGTACTTCATTGGTCGTCGAACGATCGCAGGGACACGACAAAATGACCACCACCAGCACCACCACCCCCAGCAGCAGCAGCAGCAGCAGCAAAATCATCTTCCAATTAACCACCGTCTCATCGTCATAACTCATACCCACATCATTACCACCATCACCAGTCTAGTCTAGCACTTCTCCGTGGAAGCCGAGAAGCACATCCACGACCCAAAAGGCAAAGGAGAATCTCCCGACCTGAACCAGGAAATTGATTAGGCTTTGGACATCGAAGAGCTCCAGCGGGATAGTGATCAAATCCCAGACGATCAGCAAGCTCCCGATGAGCGACCACAAGATTTGAATCTTGCTGCTCGGCGGTCGAACAAATGCCTGCAAACAGCCCTCCTCTGTTTCGGAATCCTGCATGCGATGGAGTTTGTGTAGTGGCGACATGTTGAAGGTCTTGGTCTTCTCCCTCTTCAAAGCATTTTGATGCAGCACACCTTTCCATGCCGGCCGCAAGCTCAGTATGTCCTGCCAGAAAGCACAGGCAAGATCGAGCTGTTGCTGTTGAGGCGCTGCGCAAGACTTGTGTTACTGAGTCAGGCAAAGCTGCACCTGTCCTTGGCATAGGACATCTGCTGATCGTCTTCTGACTCGGACTCTTCGAACTCTTCGTGGTGTCGCTTGATCAGGTTACGGGTCAGGAGCCCCCAGTTATGTATGGGCCCACCACTGCTACTGGCCTCTGAATTCGGAAAGGATGCAACGGAGCTGTGGGCACCGTTCGCTGTGGAAATCTCGCTTTCCTTGCTTCGCTTTCTCAGCGCACTTCCGAGCCGAGAGGGGCTTTGAGGGCTTTGAGCGGCCGCCTTCGCTGGCGACTCCGAAGCTCGCACCTTCTCCACTACTGCCTGGTGCTGCTGCACGAGGCTCTCAAAGAGCCTCTCGAGCTCGGACTTCAAAAAGGCGTCATAGGACTCTTCGTGAAACCCATCCATCAGCTCGCACAGGGAAAAGCGGGACTAGCTACGGACTGGGCCGCACATGGCTCGGCTTGTTCAAGAGCAACGACAATGCGAAGACTTCCGGCAAGCATTGCACGGATCAAGAAACACGCAAAAACAGCACTACAGTGTGCCGCAAAATGCACAAGGCAAAGCGGAGAAACCCGCCACCCAGGGCAACCGCCCGGCTGAGTTCAAGACTCCAGTTGTGTTGCTGCTGGCTTTAGATAGAAGCACTCGAATGTGGGGCCGAGCCCGATCCTCGGCAGGCGTCCCGGAGTTCCCTGCGCCCCGACGGAGCTGCTTGCATGTCATCTGCAGGCCCCCTGCTGTTCAAGTCTCGGCCCAATCTGCAGTCACATGACCACCAAGCCTTGTAGCAACAGCCTCGGAATTCCAAGTGATCCGGACGCGAGCCGCGGATTCACATGACTTGTCGGTGCACAAATGTCTACATATCCTCCATCCTTTGATCTACCCGAGCAAACGCCTAGTTACTCTGACCCTCATGCAGCCTCCACCACCGACTCTGCCAACATCTTGCCCGGAACAGCAGCGAGTAGAGATTCAGTGACCTTGGCCGGTTCTTGTTGACGAGTTGGCTATCCGCCATCTGCATCTGTTAGGCAAAATCAATGCAAAAGGCCCATGCGGTGGTATCTTCACCAGAGGAAGCCTCCACGAGAGAGAGCAAGCAACCTGGGAGCGCATGTCGTATCGCTGTGTTCAGTTCCGACAGGCGCTGCATTGGAACGGGGAGGCAACATGGGGACCCCCAACAACAAAAGAGTCGCTTTTCGGTGGGTGTGAGCTTGCATACACCCCCACATGGTGTATCGTGCAGGAGCGAGTGCAAACAGGAAGAGGCGACAGGAGGAGGTGAGCAAGGAGGAGACAGATGGAGGTGGAGGAGGAAGAGGAGGCCTGTGAGTGAGGAACGAGACAAGACAACGCTCGTTAGTGACGGTTGCTGGCTCGTCACCCTCCCTCGAATCTTGGGTTACGACAGATGCTTTGCACCAAACCCTGCGACTTCTGGAACATCACCACCACTTCCTCGGAAATGCTCGGAAAGTTCAACGGTCGACGCGAGAGAAAGAAGGGGAGGCTCGCTGGTGCGATAACCCGGGCCAGGCTCTAGTGGGGAGGCCACCGGGCACTCCAGCTCCTCACTGCACACCATCGTGAAAACCTCGCAAAGCACTCCGGGCCAGGTCCTCTAACTCGTCGTTCTCACAGTCTGAAGGCACTCCCTGGCCTTCAGGATGAGCTCGAAGGAGAGCAATGGATACAGGGGTGCCCAGATGGCCACCGTATCATGGAGGAAGGAGCCTGGACAAATCTACACACGCAAGGTGGGCCCCGGCTCTTTTGTTACCAGATCGGGCCTGGAGCCAGGGCCTCAAACTTCGCGAACTCCCGCATGACATCCTCACCTCAGCAGTCAGAGCAGATGCCCCTCTTCCCTTCGAAGATGCTGTCTTATGCCAATATGCTCATCGATCCCTTGCAGAATGCTCTGCCCTAGTTCTCCAGCCTCTGCAATTCGAACAGTTTGCCTTCTTGGCAGTTGGATCTTCTTGGAACTTTGGCACGCATGCCATTTTGCTTCCACTTGAGCTGCGACATGAGGTGATCAGCAGCAAGTCTGAGGTGAGAACCGAGCATCTTTGTGCAAATGCTGCGTAGACCTGCGACAAGCCGTGAGAGGTTGGCTACGACTTGTCCCTCAGCTTGCTCGCAACCGGACAATCGCTGCAGCAAACACGTGCAAGTCGGCAGAGTAGGGAAGGCAATGGAACGGGATGGTACTGGAGGTTCATGCAACAGACTCGAGCTTCAGGCAAGGAATCCTTGATTCCATGATATTCCATGCAACCGCGGCACGTCCCAGATCGGTTCCCTTGTCCAGAGTCGAAGCGACCCCAGCACTCCTGTCCAAGTTTCTGCAAACACTTTGCACCGAATTCATTGCTCATTACTCCGAGACCCTGTCCAGTCACTTCCGAGCACTCTGCCCCCGGACGTTTCTGCTGCCCAGGGACAGAGACAGGAGCCGTGAGGCAAAGGGGCAGCGGCAGCGAAGGGGCCCGTGCCGGCCGCTGTTCGGCACCGCTGCGGCACCTGTGGCAAAAGAACCAAAAAAAAGAGAAGCTCAGCTCATGTCAGTTCATGTTCTTGGCTGGCCTTGCAATGCCGCCCCTGGCCGAAGCGCGATTGCAAGCACCTCACATCGAGCTCTCTGAGCCATCTGCACACGAGAGCCCGATCGGATGACCGTGTCGGCCCTTCGCCGCGCCTGCGGTGCGGCCTGGATGGACGGCGTTTCGACCAGTGCAAGCCACAGGGCCTGCACAGGAATAGAGTGTGAAAGCATATGACCGGCACAGTGAGAGCTGCGTGGAGGGAGGGACAGAACGAGAGGGAGGGAGAGAGACGGAGACAGAGCAGAGACAGACAGACAGAGAGCGAGAGCGAGAGGCAGAGACGAAGGAGACGTGTACAGCTGGCAAGACAAACGAAGAGATCTTGCCGGCGATTCGGCTGCAGATTGGCTGACGACAAGGTTGCTTCCGGACAGCCTTGGCACTGTCGTCGCTTCCATAAACATGCCGGAGGTTGAAGTCGGTGTCCTTTGCAGAGAAGACAGTCGCCCCGCGAATCTGCTCTCAGAGAGATAGATAGAAGCACGTAAAGATAGATACATAGAAACACAGACGCTATATCGACATTATCGACGTAAATGCAGATAGACAGGTGGACAGCTCTGTCAGGCAGCCGCAAACTTCCATGCTAAGGCAAGGCCAGGCTCCATCCAGCGCAGTGCATGCGTAAGGGCAGAGAGCTGGAGTCGTTCGATGGCCAGCCAAACCTGGAATCAGACTTAGAGACTATAAGTGTCATGCTTTAGACTTTTCCGATTGCGGGGTTTACTGCTTTAAGTTGTCGTGGTGTGGAGTTTAGAGATTGCTCCCCTCTTTCTGTTGACTCGCCTGGATCCAAACCGGTCGGTCGGCTGCTGAGAGTCGAAGCACTTGGCAGGGACTAGTCGTCGGAAGAAGTTGGTGAATCATCGTGCAATGCAGACCTGCTTTCTCTGCATTTACTGGGGCTGGCAACCTCCAATCTCGAATTCTGAGGGCGTCCAAGCGGCCGACTTGCGCAAACTTCCAACACGCAGCTCTTGCATTGCCAGCTTCCTAAAAAAAAAGTTGCTCAGCGTTCATTGTCTGCAATGGGCTTCCACCGTCAACTCTACGACACATGTCTATGCTTCCGGGGCCAAGGGTCACGTGAAGCTGCAACGCTCCCGGATCGCTGACGGCCCACTTCTCCAAGACCAGGAGTGCCAGGGACTGGAGGGCCTCTGCCCCAAGCCAGGGTTGGCAGAATGACTAGTCAGCCTAGTTCGGTCCCTGTTGCAATGCTGCAAGAGACCATGGCCCTCGCCAATTCTAGTGTTTGTTGTGGTAGGCCGTCTTTCTGTTGGGATCTCTGTGTGGGTGCAACATGGTCAATGGTACCGGATTCGACAATCTCATGATGCAAGTCGCACCAATCTGGACCACCTCTCAAGAAGCTCCCACTAATGCACAGGGACGAAAGTCGCGTCAAACCGTTTGAAGTCCATAGAAGGGTTCCTTTGCGCAGCACCCCGCCTCCACAAAAGCCTCTTGCTGAAGTGCTCGGCGCATGCCACGAACTCGCTCGGCGAAGGCCTCGAGACCTGGCGACAGGAGGACCAGGGGGGCCCAGGGCTTCAAGTCCGCTTGCCAGGGGCCACAGGATGCCTCCGATGTCTGGCTGCACGCAGCGTGCGAGACAGGTGTGGCTCCGGACACGGAGCATCCTGAACCGGCTTGGCTTTAGAAGGCTTAGATGCTCCGACATCGCACAGTGCAGCCATCTAGCGCAATGGATGAAATCGTTCGGACACCTGAAGAAAAGAACCTGCCTCCTCCGCGACGCTTAGCAACACAATTGGAAGCAGATCGTGTATTTGAGTCTTTGCCGCCAAAGAACTCTGCCAAAGAGGGAATGAGCTGGAGCACGTGGAGGTCGTAGACGGAACTTTGCAGGAAATCCTGACTCTGCGACAAGTTTGGCTAACGCCGGTTGCGGCTTGCGTGTTGGAATCACCCCACTCAACAACGGGCGCGATTTCCAGGTTCCCCACTTTGCGACTCACCCCAAATCACCCCCAACCCATCCCATCCCCGTTTTCGCAGCGTCGTAAGTCTTAGAATGCAATTCCAGACCCAGGTCCGTAAACTCAAGCTTTAAAGTTCTGGCTAAGAGTGCGCCTAGGGCTTAAGGTTTTTCAGCAACTCCATTTTGAGCGCCAGAATAGATGTAAGTCGTTCTTGTTTTCAAACAGCGCAAGCCTGGCAGAGGCTATTCTACAAGACAGGATATTAGGAAACGGAGCGGTCGCATCACAACGATGAATCGTGTATCCTCGAGGGGCTCACAGGCCCCTGCGGTCCACTCCTTACTCGTGAGCTTTACCACGAAAGGTGGTGGGACTTGAGCACAGCATCAGCTTTAACCTGGCGAACCTCAGGACTGAGCACGCCGGGCCCAACCCAGAACGCGAAAAGCGGAAGCACAGCAGACCTGATGCTGCCATGCCTTTTGCGCCAGTTACTGTAAAGCAGACTCCGTGGCTCAGCCTCTTCAATACCTTCACAGCAGTTTCCTCGCATCTGACGACGCAGGTAACAGGAGCCGTTGGCTTGTCAGGGCTGACGTGCTTCGCGTTCTTGAGAAACAGTGCCGCGCTGGTTACCGGCCCACACGTAGACCATTCGCGGCGCCACAGACTTTGGCTGTACTTTGACAGAGCCCGTACCCGCTTCTGCGACTTTGGACTGGCCTTCACCTTTACCTTCGCTTCGGGAATGATTGGTATGCCACTCGGTTGGCGATTAACTCCGCGCGTAAGTGTGTCAGCGCATGTAGGCGGTCGCGGTCCAAGTCTGCGAACGCCGTGC